TATATACAATATTCTACTATTTATAATTTATACATGATATGAACACTGTATTCTGGATTCATTTGAAATAATTGGGTTATTCGAGTACTGGCTTTCTTGGAAAACTCAAAAAATAACAGAACATTACAGGCAATAATGACTTTAAAAAATAACTTCTGTCTTTTATTTCACTCCTCAACCCTCACTTTTCCCAGTGAGTACTTTGTAATATTTACTATTTAAATGTTTCCTATCTAAATGATTCTGCATCGCAATTATCATAAATATGTTAATTCAGTGATTTTGTCTCCCATGAGTCTGACCAGAGAATAGGATAATGCATACTCTTGCCAAGGCCTAGCCAGTATACTCTATACTAGAACTGAATGAGAAACACTTTACCAAACAACAAATCATAGTTACAAAAATCATAGTTACAATCTCCTCACCTTTTCCTGTTTATTGACTTACCTTTTATAATCCTAATCCTCATAATTGTTTTAATTATCCTCATCATCCTCACCGGTTTTTATAATCATCAATGTCATCATCATCACAGTGGCAGATCTAAGGGTTGGTGAAAGGAGTGCTCGACTCTCTGGCAGCAGCCAAATTCTGAAAGTGTGAAATCATTTAGATAAGATATTAAAAGGCCCAAACTCCAGAACCACTTAAATCCCATCAATAGGTAAAGAAACACTGCACTTGTCCCCTTGCACCATAGACCCAGACCACTTATCATAGGCCTTCAATTGCAATTGGTGCTGGCTGGGCAGAAAAAATCCTGGATCTGCTACTGCATTTTCATTGTCGTCATAATAATCATCATTATTACCATGGTATGTATTTGAATATTATCAAATGCATGGTGTTACGATGTTGCTATAAATGGTAAATAATACTTATTAATATAAATTCCAGCTTAATTATTTCCATTTCAGTATATTCACATAAATACCCTGGAGAATGGTAGTGAATGCAATTGACCTTTGGACTCTTGATTTTCAAAATGAATTACTGAAGGGATAGTCTAACCTTTCTTTTTAATGTTTGGAATAAATTCATCTGGTTTCCATAGATAAAAAAAAAACATTTCTGATGCACTGAAGCTAGTAAAATGTCCTGCTGCTCAAGGAGAGGTGCCCTCCCCAGATAATCTATGTGTCAAAAGGTTGTGGTAGATGTGTGATAATTTATGTGCACCTTCGTCCCTGTTCATGATAACGGGTGTTTTTCAGATTCACATACTGTCTTTTACCTGTCTTTGGAATGTGTTTGGTTCACTGTCCTAGATGTTTGTATTGTTGCAGTGCTGAATGTGATTTGCCTGTATGACATGATGAGTGCTTCAGTGGATGTTGATGCTCTGGCTGTTTTTGTACAGATGCCTGGCATAATTTTTTGGATATTATCAGTTTTGCGTTATTTTAATCTTGTTTTAAAAGGCCTACCGGTCTCTGCAGTGTATGATTTATAATATATATATATAATAATTGTCAAAGATTATATGCTTTCATTTGCATCATTTAACTCTAAAATACACATGTAGAACCTATTAAAATATGGTAATCAGTGGCAGAATGCCCATGCGCTCTTGTGCGGTAATCCAAATTCCCCGACCACTCTGGGTCCCTACCCATAGGGTCCTTGATCTAGTATCCTGACCCAAAAGGGCTTTGTTGATACATAATGTGTGTCTGACACTGACTGTAGGACATATACCCATATTAAAGGGAGCCCTGTTAGTCCACATCAGACCACATCTGAATTCCCATAATGCAATTGGCAACCAGGACCCAAAAAGGGCCCCAGTTTCAGAAAGTGACAGGGCCCCGGCCTCATTGTTATGCCACTGATCGTAAATACATCTGAATATGGATTCAAATTTATTTTCACTTAAAAATTTAAATTCATGAATTTCTGTTAAATATTCATGCATATCTCATCTCAGTTTAAATGATTTTAAAATGTATTTATAAATGTTGTCATGCCTAACTATTTTTAGCTGTATACAACTCTTGAATACATTTCACCTTCATGCAACACATTTCATTAATGCATCATTATTCTACTGTAAAACAGCTACAGGTATCTGTGAATGTAATTCAAATTTTCTACTCTTCAGAAGTGATGCCATGCCAAGCATTAAGCCAATCAAATAAGAAAGCTTAGGTTTTTTACATTTTTGCATCTATAGAAGGATAAATATAGGCTTGTGACAACCAAGAATTTCACCTTAAATGGTGTGCTGTGTGAGGCATCTATACTAATTGTATTTCATTAAAATTACCCTCTAGATACAATGATTGAAATAGACCTGTAATTGCCATCGCAAACTCATTACTTTGTAGCTTTTAGCTTCAAAAAATGTTTATTATAATTTTATGTTACTTTTTTTGTTGAAATTGTTTAATATAAATTATTTTGTCTAATTATTAAATGTGAATTAGAAAATTGCAGAACTAAGGAGTATTACAAAAAAATATTGACTATATTATATTGGAATTAGGATTGCATCACGAGGAGACATGATATTTTCTATATACATTTTTCTGAAAAATGATATTGTTTATAATAACACTCATCTTAAAACACACCAGTCTGATCTTATTCAAGGTAAAATAGTACGCAGTTTAAAATGGCTGACTTGTGACTGAAGCCAGGAAACAGTCATGGTATACTGAAAAATCCTTTGAGGTCTGGAAGCATTTAGTGAACAATTCAGTAATTACAGAGAACTTCTTAATACATCAACTTTGCTTACCATTGGAATGTGTTGTCCATTGTTTTTAATACAGAAAATTGTTCACAGTTTTCTATTGTGATTTGTTTTTCTTTTGATATAGTTATTGTCATTATAATATTAAAAGCTAATACAGTACCATGTATAATTTTGTGTTTGTTTACAGATGAAGTTCGAGAAGAAATAGATCGTATATTTGAATTGTCAAGGAGGCTGCAACTTGTAGTTTTAGATTGTGACACCATCAACCATCCCACACAGCTACAGAAGACATCACTAGCACCTATTATAGTCTACCTAAAAATATCATCCCCTAAGGTGAGTATTAAGAATGTTTGCAGCTAAAACCAATGAGAACAAACAATTAGATAGTTTTCTTTCATCATTGGTTTGAGATTTCTTCAGGAAAAGTTGCAATGTGGTACCCCTCAACTAATCAGAGGTAGGGAACGCTGGTGAGAGAGCCATTTAAAAGGTTTAAATAACAACTGCACTTCAGAATGTTTACATTTAAATATAAACTCTTTCAAGGTGTTGATGGTGTTTGCTGAGGAATACCTGCTCACTACATATCCAGAATTGAATTCCTTCACTTTGGCCCTCAGTATCATAAGTTTTTTGTTCATTGTTATTTAATTGAGAGAATAAGAATGACTTACTTCATGTGTAATTAGATGCTTGGATAAGCTCACTGGATGATCGTGTTGTACCAGCTGCCTAGAAGGCAGCATGCAAGTTGCATTGGTGTTAGTACACTGCTGACAGTGGCACTGCAAAGATCCCAGTAGGCTGTAGGTTCAAGGTCTCTAAGTGCGCAATTGATCAAGTCGAAACCCCTGTGGACTGGCAGCATAGTCACTTGTACTTGCTAGATGGCAAAGAAAGCAACACCTTGCATTTACACATAAATACCCCAACCTGACAGAATAGGGGAATTGTGAATTTCACAATTATCTTGATGGCTTGTAACAGTCATCCTATGGTATAGTGTGAAGTTGGTAAATAATATCACATGAAATTAATTTTATGTAGTTCCATTTTATCATCTCCTATCCTCAATCAGCAATATAATCAATCGATCATTATAATTTCTTGAATTGAAGTTTAAATGTTTTTTGCTCGCTATAAATACATATTGTTTGGATTAAAAATATAAAGGATTAAAATGGTTTGTTGAACATCAAAACTAGCAGCTTGATATTCTCCTGGTGACTCTTTGACGGATATTTTAATTACGTGATAACAACACAACCAGATCAAATATGCATGCGAGCCTTCTTAATTTTTTTCTGATCTATCTGTAATATGATGCGGCTAGTAGCTTGATAGAACACTTTGTAATAACCAATTTGCAGAAAAGCGCCCGCTACAGATAATCCCTTCGGTCAAGCTAGCGAGAATTATAGGCATGGAAAACTCAAATCTCGGATAGTTGATCTGACTTAGATTTTACAGATTATTAGACTGTACCATTATTTTTAGATGAAAGTTTTAACTAAAACATAGTTTTCACTAACAAGTTTAATTGTATGTAGATTTAGATTGTACCATTATATTTACAGGAAGTTATTATTACTGTTAAATTGTCTAGAAAACTCAGACCACTATGTACATACAAGTAAACTTCTTTTTAGTTAAAACTCACTGTTTCAGAGAAAACCCCCTCTATAGTAATGGTAAAGTCTAGTAATCTAGAAAACTGAGATATATTGTGCCTAGCCCCTTAATAATTTAGCAAAAATACTAGACTACTAAACCAGGATTTGGCATGAAAATAAGTCAGCAGGCCAACTTCACGTTGATCATTGTGTTACCAACACATCTGGTTTGATTCAAGTGCGTTCGCGCGCGAGCATTTATCTATTTTAATCATATTTAATTAGCAACAATCTGCTTTCATACACCAAGCCAGTTGTATGATGAGACTCAATAAAGCATTGGATGTTAACTATATCCTTGAAATTAAAAATGTTCCCCTAATTAAACTTTTGGGAATTTTAGTATGTTATTTTGTGTTTATTTCTGGAACAGATTCTGCAAAAATTATTTCTATTTCAATTAGTTCTGGGTCATTTCACAGATTGAATGGACTATTCTTTTTGTACAGTGTACATCTATGGATGCTCATGGTGTATTTATTTTGTCTGGGCCTATGGGTAACTGTGAGAGCCACAGTGCAGTGTGACTATCAACATATAACATAGTTGTCCTGTTTCCCAGCCAATTAACATGTGATGATGGCCAGGTTTAAACAAGCACAAGAAGCAGGAACAATAACTCTTGCCCAGCCCCTCCCAGACAATATTATATTAATAATATATCAGTCAATAACTAAAATTAATAAAATTCATTGAAATTTGTTTAAGCAAGATAGCAAGGGAAAAACAGCATAAAATATACAGGCAGATGGTAGCTTGTACATACCATAAAAGATGGAAAACTGCTATTCGTGGATTATCAAATAGTTTGGAAAAAATGATCTATTAAAGTGACTCTCCAAACAAAATCCAAAACTCAACTTATAATATGAGCAAGCTGCTCTGTAAAAATGTACAAATAAAAGTCCAACTGGCAGCTATTCTATTGGAAACAACTACTTTCTGTTTACTGTACTTTTTTTCTTATGAACTTTCAATAATTTGGGAATTAACAAAATAAGTCTATCAGTAATAACTGTACGATTATGATACATTTCTGTGGCAACTAAATGCTTGAATTTTTTCTTTATCTGTTATTTGTCTAGGTATTACAAAGACTCATCAAGTCCCGAAACAAATCTCAAAGTAGAAATATGAATGTGCAAATGGTTGCAGCCGACAAGCTGGCACAGTGTAGTCCAGTAAGTTTACTAGATAATTCCTTTAATAATATTGTCTAAATTTCCTTCCTAGATAGTTGTCAGACCAACAGAACAAGACGTGTATTAGAAAAGAGTACTAAACAAGCCGCTAAGAGCCCAATCACGCTTATTATATCAGCCCAGGGCCACCTTAACTTAACCTTCTGCTGCCATCCTCCCACTTCCTGTACACCACTGCGTTTCCTACACTCCTATCCATTTGCTGTTGCATTCCTTTCTCCATCCATGCAGCTAACTGCCTTACATTACATTTGCCGGCCGCCAAGTATACCACTGAAAAATACCTCACCTCAGAATTCTCCCAGCTACTTCCCCTTGCAGAATTTTGTGATATTTTTTTCTAGAAGAGTATTCAAGTGAATGAAATTTTATTGTATAAGATGTCAAAACTGACCGCTATCAAGGCGACCTTTGCCGACCCTAGTTAGTTTTACATTCATATATGAAGATGAGTCAGCTGCATTGCGGGACCTGAGCCGACCTTAAAGTCGGTTTACATTTAGATCGGTTTTGGGTTGGCCTATAATCTGTTGATTGTTCACATTTTAAAAAAGCTGACCCTGAGGCGGTCCAGAGCCAAGGTACTATTTAGTGTGATTGGGCTCTAAAACATTTCTGAGAAATGGAAACCATAAATTAGGGTCTGGTGAATTACTATTCAGGTGAACTACTATTAATGCCATTGCTGTCATTCATAGGTTTGCATCAGCACACAAAACAAGCAAATTAATAATAGATCAGTGTTAACAACATATCATAATTGAACATGTACAATACTTGAAGCCTATGAAAATTCCACAATCCACATTAGTGGTTCTCTGAAAATTTTGGGTTTACAACAAATGTTGCAAATTGCAGCAACCCACTTTCCAGGTTTAAACAGATTCTAAAAATAGGTCATTAACTTTTAAGCAAAATTGAAGTAAAATGTTTAAATGATACACATAATGTGCTGTCTTTTACTACTTGGCAACCCAGTTTTGGGTTGCGACCATAGTTTGAGAACTGCTGATCTACATTTAATTTGTGTTGAAATGTAAAGCATCTTTTTAAAATGTTATTGTTTTGTGTTTGTACTGTAATGAACATAATACACATGATGCTTTACACAAACTAAATCTCAATAGGAGGCTTAGGGAGTGGAGTTGTTTTGGTTGTGAGAAAAAATCCTGCAACACTGACTGGGATTGAACCCTAGGATTGGAAGGCAAGCATCTTAACCACCAAGCTCCAATTAATTTTGTTTTGGTTACCCACAGTTGCTAATTGAACTTTAACCTGAAAATTGAAATAAAATATGTGCATATAATATCATCTGTATTTTTATTTTTTTTTAACTATGGTTTATTCAATGTGATCTCTACCTGGAAAAGTAAATAAAATAAATGTATATAATATCATGCCTAATTTTTTTACTTTTAGGATTTGTTTGATGTGATCCTGGATGAAAATCAGCTGGAAGAAGCCTGTGAGCATCTTGCTGAATATTTAGAGGCATACTGGAAAGCAACACACCCTACTATACCAAACACACAGCCTAGGCCTTTGCAGCCTGTCCCATTGGACGGCTCACCACAACAAAATATTTCTAGATCTAATGCAAACCGCAACAAAGATAGACACGATGGACAGGGAATGGAGCCTGTCGGTATGAGAGAGTCTCCACATTCACATCAGCAAGATTATAGAGATGACCAAAGAGGCCAGCGAGAGCCCGACAGACGGGATCCTCGCAACGACAGACGACCTATGCAGGATGTCAGTCATAATCGTGATTATTATCAGGATTATGATACTAGGAAAGATAGGAACTATGATCCACAGTACGAGCGTGATCGTTATTATGAAAGGGATGCAAGACGGGAAGGTGGTCCCAGATCAGATAGGAGCATGCCCCGTGACAGGGAACGGACTCTAGACCCCGATCGGGTTAGTGACCCATATGCAAGGGATCGACACTATTCTGAACGAGACACACTACGTTATGAGCATGAAGTCACACGAGACAGAGGGGACAGAGACCGGTACAATAGAAATGAACAATATGAAATGCAGGACCGAGCACGTGATAGGGATAGGTACATTGATCAGCAACCAAATGGGCGTAGTCGACACTGGGAGCCACAAGGACCGGTGAATGAATACGAACGCCGTATGCCGTCTGCGCCTTATCCCGATCAATATTCACGATATGGAGACTCACACGGCATGAGAGAACCCTCTACAGTAGGCATGGGCAGACCTCATCCTACCAGGCCATAGTGGTGGTTATCAAAGGCTCTGTTGTAGGAGACATGTGATTCCTTTTATTCTTGAGATATTCTAGAGGTATTTCACCCATAATTTTTGCAACTCCATTTGACCATGTGCCAATTTTATTTCATGGAAGGAGTGTGTCACAGTACCACTTTCGAACTGTCTCCATGTTAGTTGCTGAAGAGCTTTTCAAACATGCAATGCTTCTGGAGATTTTTTTAATGCAAAACTTTGTATTTCTGATCGACCAGTGGCTCACAGATATTCTGGTCAGCTGATTAAGAAACATGGCTTAGATTATGCAAATTATCAGTGATATTGAGATACATTTGAATGTGGTGAAGGTGGTGGCGGCAACAATGGTGATGGTGGTTGGTTATGGTGGGTAAGGTGAATTGGCCGTAAGATTTTAGCTCTAGTCCTTATATCTCAACAGTAGATGAGGTGAATGAGGATAAAGACAGTTTTAAAATAAAAATAACTTGCCATATATTTATCCAATACCTATGATGTGCCGAATTTGGCCAAATATTGTTAATTTTCTCAAAAAAAAAATTGTAGTGACATCCGTTTTCCATGTAACTAGACTATTGAAGTGTACTTGAAGTTTGACAATATAATATTAGCTACTAGACACTCAATAGAAAATATCAAAGACAAACCTCCAATGTGTGTGTGAATACTGGTGTGCGACTAACTCGCTTGCTCATCTTAATGATGAATATAAATGTAGCATCAGGAATTTGCGGTGCAAATCCCCAATACACCATAGATCCTATAGTAGTAGTAGTATTAACTGTAGTTGTAGTTTGTAGATCCGTATGTCAACCCTCAATATAAAGTCTCCTCTTTTAACTTAAAGAAACCAAGAAAACAAAGTTTGTGAAAAATATAATGGTGATTTGAAACACCTATAGCAAGAGTGTTGTGTAATATGTATTTAAATGATAACTGCATTCTGTACATGTCTGAGGGACTTGATTTTTTAGCACTTGTATATAATATTGTTGTCCTCATAATAGATTTTTGGGGTTTTTCATTTTGATAAAAATGACAAAATAGTTGTAAAAGCTTTTACTGAGGTTTTCTCTTCTTTTTGAATAGAATTTTTATTTCATATTTGATGCAATTATAAATTAGGGTTTAAGAATAAACTCTCAATTTTTATCTTGTTGATTTATTCAGATTGGTTTTTTAGTAGCGGTTTGTTTTCCCCATAATGGCAGGTGACATTGTGTGGTCGATAGCTAAGCGATTGGTAGAATTTAGTATTTATTTCTAGTTGTTTTCTTCAAATTATATTGTAAAAAGTATATCATAAGAATATTAAATTTTGAAGTTTGGGATTATTATTGTAAATCTAACATTCTACATTTTTTTATAGACTGTATGCATTTTGCTTATCGCTTTATTTTTGTATTGCAGATTGTGTATCTTGTAACATTTTTCCAAATATATTGAGGGCAGTGTTGTCAAATGAGTACAAGGTTATGGTTTTTTTGCCAAACATTTGCTTGTTATTAGCACTTAATGATCAAAAAGCATGAAAGAAAAACAAGTATATTTGTGTTCTTTCATTGCTGGAAGTAGAAAGCCATGAATTAAACTTGGTCATTTTTCTTTTTATTCATTCTTGGGCTTTCCCACCTAGGAGAAGAGGATTAGTGAATAACTTGCCTAAAAAGGATTATTTGGTTGTTACCCTATTTAAGAAATAGTACCCTCATTTCAAAATTTGATATTACTGAAATTTGTTTTGTACATGCATTCAAGATGTACCTTAGGAGGAATTGTTTGGGATAGATAGTGGATAGCTCATATAGAATTTTAACATTGATGTTGATTCATTTCATTCATGCTATTACTGCCGGCAGTATATTTAAATGGGAAAAATTGAAGAATTATATGAACGATACCAAACTAGGAATATTAAAACATTCTTTAATATAGCTATGGCTACTAGCTTATTTCAAATTTTAATCACTCTTAACATTAACCAAAAAATGGGTAAGCAAAGTGGTTCAAACAGAACATTTCCAACTAAAGGACCCAGCACACCTTAATAAATTGTCTTTAGAACAGATCTTACTAACTGGACATATTGAAACAAATTGAATTAACGGAATGGAAGTTATACTCATATATTTAATCAAACTATTAAGAATACATACTGTGTCTTTATTATATAAGAAGTTAACTTTCACCTTATAGCTAAATATAAAAATAATCTGTTTTAATGATGAATTTAAATTTTTTTTAAATCGTGAAGCAGCTAATTTTTCTTTTTCAATTATCGATAGAGATGCACATTTGTTGATATATTGACATAAGAATTATGTAAAAGGACAATGTTTGTTATAATACATGGGATTAATAAAAATAACTTGCCTATCTATACATTTTATGCAATTTTTTCCAGAATTCCTCAACTATGGGAAGAATTTTGGGTAGAAATAAATCCTAAGATGAGTCAGTTAACTGTCTTTATGAAAAAAAAAATTAATATGTTAATTGTTGTTTGCTGAACACCACATAGTAATAATTTATTAGCTGGTTTTTAAGAATTAATTGATGTATATCAGCTAAAAGTAAAGGCATAAGCACTCATCACTAAATTATTGCATCTGTAATATGTAAATGTAAAGTTTGTATATAGAGCCTTAGTAACTATGGTTACTCTATATTCTATACCAATGACTAAATATTATATAATTACTATTGATAAGATTAACATAAATATATTCTATTTAACAGTGGCTATTTCTGTTCAAGAATGTTCATTCATTTGTGGATAGAGAAAATTATTCAGGTTGAGACAAAAAAAAAACAATTTCTTTCAGTGTAATACATATTCCTTATAAGAAATAAAAGTTTCCCATTTAAGCTCATGATATCAGCACCATTGCCATCATTATATTAAAAATTATTTATTCAAAAGCCATATCACAATTCTATTTAAAATTTATTTTTATGTCAAGTTTTAAAGATAATGATTGGATTGGTGAAATTAATATACTTATGGTAGTACTGTGTAATGGCTGGAGAACGGATATCAATACGATTTTCCCTCATTGCGATATCATATAATGTTTTATTGATTCAATTAAATTTGCTAATCAGGCCTCCTAGTTAAGACCTGGGTTCAGGTACAATGGCCAACAATTTTGGCCACATTTGTAATTCATGTATGGATAATAAACTTTAATAATATTGATATATAATAAATATGCTATTTATCTGTTCACAAAATCATAATCATCTGTTGCTGCCATGACCCTATTGTATTATTAGCATGCACAGAATAATATGGACCTAAAATTAGTTAGGCCTTTGTGTAAGATAGGGATTTCTGAGATTTCTTTTCATTTATGGCATAATAAAAATCCTATAAAATGTAATTATATATGATGAAATACTTTTAATATTAAATTGATGCCAGGACTACATTTAAAATATCGAGCAATAGAATTAATAGGTGATTAAATTTAATCCCCTTAAATTATTGGGTAATTGAGGGGAGGGGTCTAATGTATATCTTACCCCTTCTCCAGTGATTGATCTTTTTTGGCTGAAAATGCCAAAATAATTATATCTTAGTACATCACATTCCTTTTTATATGCAAGTATACAATTTAACAAATCAATAATGTGTATTATTTTGTTTCTTCGTAAGCTTCTGTTTATCAATTCATATTGAAGCAGTATGATAAACTTTAGATATTAAGGTTGTTGTGTTGTGTCATTTTCCACAATCCTCTATTCTCGAGGGTCTTATTTGATATTTCATTGCTTCAGTTTTAATAACTTGTTTTCAGTTTTCTATTATAAATATTTTTGCCTGTACCTGTAATGGTCTTGCCATGTTTTGTCACATGTTTTTCTTTTGCTGTTTTTGGCTATTCATTTTAAGGAAGATGTTAGAAAATGGGTGGCTCCTATGTTAACCACTGTCTTTGCCAGTATTTGTGCAATCTGTTTCTAAAGAGCCTGTTAAAAATTCTAATAAGACATGTATTTATGAGCACTTAAATCAATATATGATAAATACACAGATACACACACACACACACAT